TTGCGCGGACGACGCAGTGGCATTATGGCTTATCAGCAAGTAAAAATTACCCCAGCGGCGTCATTCGTGGCCAATGTGGCATCGACAGGCTAGGGTAGGTTAGTGAGGACTAAAATGTGACAGGGTAACCGCTGACAGGGCAACTATCGACAGGGTAATTGGTTGGGATGGGATCGGCAGAGGCAGCAGTTGTCAGTCAATTCTGGGGAGATCTGCAATGATTGCTTGAATCTGCAAGTGCAACAGCTAGTTGCTGGGGTTGTAGAGAGGTGGATTGGAACAGGGTAACTGCACGGGATGGGATCAGCAAATAACTGCTGAGGTCGGCCATTTCTCTTGAAATCTGAAATGACTGGCTGAAACTGCAAGTGAAATGGCTAGTTGAGAGAGGAGGGGGGAGGAGAAGGGGGGGGGGGGGGGGGGGGGGGGAGGTATCACAAGGCAAGGTACTGCAACGACTGGTTGCTTAGCAAAGTGTTGTGCAGAGTGCGTTCTGTCAACAACATCCACCTCTTGTGGAAGGCTGTAGCAGGCATTTAGCGAACTGTTGTTAACAACGACGTGTAACAGATTGTGCTGCATTATTCGTTTAACTTCCACTAAAGTACTTTTAGGACCCGTAATATTACTGGTATACATCACCAGGCCAGACCAGACTCTGCATATCCATCCTTCCCAGTGTGAGAGTACGACGGCTTATGCTTGTTATTCATGCTTGCTTTTATTTCCTTACGCTACTTCTAGCTTAGGTTTATTTTATGCATGCATGAATTGTTTGATTCCTAGGCTAGGTGCTTTCCTATATTTTATATAGTTATAAGCACCGTGCTAGGTTACACCGAATTCGGAGCTATTCGGTTGCCACCGAACTGCTTTCTACCGAATTCGGGAAGGGTCTGTTCGGGATGCTTCGCGACCCACAGAACCTTCTCGTAACACCTGGTTACTGGGCCTTGTGTCGAGCCTATATATAGCCTCGTGTTGTACCCAGGTGATCATTCAATTTACATTCTCATTTCTGAACTCGATCCTCGATCCTCACACCCAGTTTGTATTTACTATGCATCGGCCCCGCAGTAGCTTAGCCACACAGCACTCACCCGCAGTTTCTTTTTGTGATATGGGCGTACAAGCATGGCAGAGTAGTTCATTTTTCATGATGATGGCTGCATAATGGGTTTTGAGGTGCCTGCCATATAGAGAACAAGCTCCTACTGATCAGTCAAAGGTTTGTCATCTGTGGCCAGTGCAGAAACGGGGAAACAACTTTCATAGAAGGCATGCAACTTCCATTTTGTCAATTTGACAGATGTAGCGGTAGTAATTTTTTAGCCGAAACATGTCTACCTCGCTAAATGCGTGGATTATAACAGCGCTTCACGAAAGCCCACAACATTAATACGGTAGTCTGGCCCCCTCTCCTCAAGTACCCACCACCAACCCTTCTCTTCCCCCTCAGACTCCTTCCCTTTCAGTAAGACCGAGATACGAGTCTCGTGAGGTTGCTGTGCGTACGATGTGAAAATGGGTTGACCAATAGCAGCACAGAAGTCTGCCAAGTGTACGGAGTAGAAGTCTGGGGTGGGCATATTCGCGAACGTTGGGTTTGGTTGTGATGTGTTGGTATGATGACGTGTAGGTAATAAAGGGTCGTGATTGGATGTAAAAGACTGTTTGGCTTCACACGTCACTCAGGGTCACGAAAAATACACGAAAATGTTGTATCCACATTTCCAACTTCGCTTGCCTTCATGACTGTCAAGACTTTCGTGACCTTCGCACATCTGCACACTTTGACAATGCCACTCCGCATCACCTTTTGGAATCTTTCTTGACCGTGCGAAACCTAGTGCGCCGTGTTCACGTCACTTTGGAGTGACTTTTTGGCGGTGGTCTTCGCTCTCGCAAAATGTGTACGGAAAGTTGCGATTCCGGATCGTTGTTTTTTGGATACTTCGTGCAAAATTTCCACAATCTTTTCGCAGAAAAACCTTTGGAGGCAAAAAAAACGCAAACTTCCCCTTTTTCGCGATGGCTGCTGCTTCCAAGAGCACATTAATGGTTCTCCAACCTAGCGTATACCTTGCCCTGATGGTGGCTGCTCTCTTGTTTGCTTCAGGTAAGCTCAAGAATACGGGTAGTAGATCGTACAATATTCAGGATTCGTTGTGTTCGCTCAGGACCTCATCAAACGTCTTTAAAGGATGGTTTTGTTCTTCTTTCTTTTCCGCCCACCGTGCAATGTAGCCCACCCTGGAGCCGCGGTGCCAGTCGCGGACAGCCTCCTTGTGGCGCAGCGAAGAGCTTTGGCGAGGTTGAGCGGCTGGATTCGAAAACAATTCTCAAAGCGAATTGGATATCCCTATTGTAAAGCTCCCGTCCAGGTCGGACCTAAGTAAAATATTGTCATAGGTTTCGAAATGAGCTCTTTTAAACCTCCGCCGCGAACTATGGGAGGAATAAGGGCGGCCGCAACCCCTGGAACAGATCTTTTTCTTCGGAAATTTGCAGCCCATTGTTTCACATTCACGAGAGCTTTTACCACAACTACGTGTTCAGACCATCCTTCGACCTTCTCTCCTTTTGGACCTCGAAATTCGATTCGATCGTCGCAGCGGGGTTAGCGGCGGCTATGGACAAGGCAGAGCTGAGTGGTGACTCGAAGACTGCTGGAGTCCTCACTTTCGGCATCCTTAAGTAAGATTCGCGTTCGCACTTGCTCTAGCTCTAGCACTCTCAGTTGCAACTCAGACTCACACTCGCACTAGCACTCGCACTCGCACTCGCACAAGCACTCTCACTCACACTCGCTCTGGCACTCGCTCTTGCACTCTCTCCTTCTCACCATCTCAGACTCGCACTCCCATGCGCCCTTGGATTTTTTAAGTACTATCATGAGGCACGTGCACAATATGATGTTTGCGTGGCTGCCTATTGGAGCCAGGGTCGCATGGGGCCACCCGTCGCTAACCCACTTGATCATGCTTCTCAATTCTTCTTATCTCCTCTATTCTCTGCGGTCTGGGTACCTCTCACGATCAGGGACGACTATCACATCCGCTACGCTGTTGCCGTCCGCGTGCTTACTCCAGGCTACCCAACTGCCCTTGCCGTGAACATAGGGTTCGCAGGGGACATCGCGGAAAAGGCTTTTGGCCAAAATCGAGTTCAAGGACCAAACTCTGCTGGAAAGTTGCTGCTGGGTTGCAAAGAGTAACCGAAAAGCTTCGATTGGAAACCTAGACCAATTTTGGATACAAGGGGTAACTGAGCCGCGCATTTTGGATACGTGGGTATACTCGAGGCGCACATTCTGGAATCGTGGGTTCCCCGAGCTGCGCATTTCTAGCGTGAATCTCAGAACATCCCTACCGAACTGTACACCTGTTCACGTTACGATAGAACCTTTTGATTCCCTCTTGGTGTGATTCCGCCTGTATGCGATCGCTGAACACATCGCACGTTTCAACCTGGCTTTTTTTTAAGTTGCGAGCAAAGTAACGTGGATACAAAACTGGACGAGGCTCGCAAAAGGCACAACCAACAGTCGAAAATGGCAACTAGTACGCGGTTCCCAGCCACATCCAATCAACTCGAAGTGTTCAGATTTCATTCATCTGACGTGGCTTCCCTGGACCAAGGCTCAGCTAACCCGAGCCAAAATACAGCCGAATACCGAGCCAGCTCCCGTACACCACATCCCAACCCACCCCACCCCTTCTTGCAGTGTATTAGCATTCTCATCGTACATTCCAAGTCACTGCCACGCAGCAAGCCGCTGAACGCGAGAGCGGCGAGTGTGGCGCATCCACCGCTGGCAAGCAGGCACCGCTGAACCCCAGAAAACTCTGAGCGGCGAGTGTGGCGCGTCCACTGTCCAGCGTCCGGCAAGCCGCTGAACGCGAGAGCGGCGAGTGTGGCGCGTCAGCCGCTGGACGCGAGGCGGAGGGGGCATCCCGATTTTTTAATAATGTTAAGATTACATTACGTTGAGATTTTAGGGAAGAGAAACGAATAGAGACGCACCTCTGATAAGGAGCAGCTGTCACATGCGCATCCGTGGATTCTATGGCGGGTAATAGGTCCAAGGAATCCATACTAACTTCGTGTCGAGTGTGATAGGGCTAGAGCAGGATGACGGGGAGCAATCTGGTGGGGCCATGGAGAACTGGTAGCTTTGCAAGTTGGGTTGATCTTAGTGTGCACGCGGTGTACAATACGCTTGGTTCTGGTTCGGTTGAGTGGCGTACGTGTTTCAAGAGGACGTGGGTGCATCACAGCTCGTGGATTGGTTTGGCACGAGCGGGAAACCGTTAAATCAGGGTCATGTCAGAGCTGATTTCATCAAAGTTACCATTCGCGTGATGGGCTGCTAGTGTATAGTTACCAAACGTGCTAAGCTAGTTACCAAACGCGTTAAGTGAGTTACCAAATGCGTTAGGCGGGTTACCAAACGCGATGAAATCGTTATCGTACGTGTTACATGAGTGCCCCATGTAAGTTACCATTGACATATTTTCCCATAGATATACGGGTAATGCGTTTGTTTGTTCGTGTATCCTCTCAATTTGTGCCACCTCCCCAGAACCACCTCCCCCAGTCAGCCTTGGCGCACACAACCTTCCCCGCCTCCCTTTCCCGCTTCCCCCATAAATCCCTCCCTTATCGCAAGGTAACCAGACCGGGCGAGATGAAGCGAGCAACTCAATACCCATGATTGGAAGCAGGAAGTATGGCTGCGAATGCATTCCGTTTACCGGGCCACCTAACGGCTGCCAACAACTAGTTTCTCATTCCTAAGGGTTAGTCTTGGAAATTAGTCAGTCGAAACCCGTTCAAGGCAAATTTCTCGCGTTTAGCACATCGAAGGCGACTTGCCAGGATAGCTCGTTCAACATCAACCGTACTATCGTATTGCTGGCCCATATTTCGAATCTTGCTGATGTCACATCACATACCATTGGCTGTGGTGGGGTCCTGCTAGGGCCTGTAGCGTCATCATGGCAGCTTCGACGCAGGAGACAGCTCCGCATTCTAGAACGCTCGACTATGGCAGGTGAATACGGTCTTTTATGCACACTCTATTGCTCGTATGCGTCCGCAAGCCATTTTATTCGTCATCGCGATCTCCGTCATTTGACCGCGCGTCACTCCGCGTGGCCACGTAGCTTCGACTCTTATCTCGTCACCTGCTGTTTGCAATCTGGTCTAGTAACGTCGGTTCGAGTGTTCGCTCACAAATCGAGGTGCAGTCTTCCCATCGCGTTCGAAAAAGACGACGAAAACAACCCTTCTCTTTCGCGAATTTCGTTGATTGTAGGTTGAGTTCGTTGAACAGGAGGAAAGCTGCGGGGAAAGGCGACCTGGCAAAGCTCATATGGTGCTTCATCGGCGTGGTGGGCACGCTCATCATCTACGGCATTGGCCAGGTGCGTCGCTGCGACACTATCAGGTAAAGCGACCTAGGGATGCTGTTAAGGAATGCGACCCAGGGGAATTGATGAGGCAGCATGACCCTATTATCGGCGTGGTGGGCACGCTCGTCATCTACGGCATTGGCCAGGTGCGTCCCTTTGAGGTGGCCTAGCGAAGATGATAAGGCGATTCGACCTAGTCACCAGCGTGGTGGGCACGCTCATCATCTACGGCATTGGCCACGTGCGTCGCTGCGACACTATCAGGTAAAGCGACCTAGGGATGCTGTTAAGGAATGCGACCCAGGGGAATTGATGAGGTAGCATGACCCTATTATCGGCGTGGTGGGCACGCTCGTCATCTACGGCATTGGCCAGGTGCGTCGCTTTGAGGTGACCTAGCGAAGATGATAAGGCGATTCGACCTAGTCACCAGCGTGGTGGGCACGCTCATCATCTACGGCATTGGCCAGGTGCGTCGCTGCGACAATATTAGGTAAAGCGACCTAGGGATGCTGTTAAGGAATGCGGCCCAGGGGAATTGATGAGGCAGCATGACCCTATTATCGGCGTGGTGGGCACGCTCGTCATCTACGGCATTGGCCAGGTGCGTCGCTGCGACACTGAGTGCCCTTACGTGGATTTGAGGTGACTTAGCGAACCTGATAAGCCAATGCGGCGTAGTCACCAGCGTGGTGGGCACGCTCATGGTCTACGGCGTTGGCCAGGTGCGTCGCTGCAACAAATGACGGGTAAAGGGACCAAGCGAAGGTGATAAGAAAATGAGATCTAGGGAAGCTGATAAGGCGCTGCAACCTATCGAAGGTGATAAGGCAATGCGACCCAGTCATTGGTGTGGTCGTCACGCTCATTGTCTATTGCATTGGCCAGAAGCGTCGCGGCGACATTGGATCCCCTTCTTGACTTCGAGCTCGGATTAGCGACCCAGCGAAGGTGATAAGGCGATTCGACCTGGAAACCAACGTGGTGGGTACGCTTGTCTTGGAAATTCATTCGTGGCCAGGCCACCACACCACTGTCCCATCGTTTTTAGCTCAGAGTTTTGTAGTGATCCGTTTTCCATGCTCCTGCTGTACAAGCTTCATATTGACGAAGAAGTTGGTGATTTTTTTTTTTTTTTTGGTGCTTGTAACGCAGGAGCGGATAATGAAGTTCCCCTACGGTGATAGGGACGAGGACTCGGAGTACTTCCAGCACTCGCTCTTCATCGTGCTCTGTAACCGCCTCATGACGTGCGCTGTGGCAGTCATCGTGCACCTGGTGAGTCAGTCAGCAGTACCCTTTGAGTCGACTCTTTAACATGCACCGCTCTTCATCGTGCTCTGTAACCGCCTCATGACGTGCGCTGTGGCAGTCATCGTGCACCTGGTGAGTCAGCCAGAGCCCCTTGAGTCGCCTCTCAAACATCTTCCTTCCTCTTCATCGTGCTCTGCTCTGTAACCGCCTCATGACGTGTGCTGTGGCAGTCATCGTGCACCTGGTGAGTCAGTCAGAGCCCCTTGAGTCTCCTCTACTCTAGCGTCTTACTCTTACTCTTCATTGTGCTCTGTAACCGCCTCATGACGTGCGCTGTGGCAGTCATCGTGCACCTGGTGAGTCAGAGAGCATGCGAATAGAAGGCCTGGTAATTCAGTGTTTGAGAAGGGTCTGGTTACTGTGCTTGGAAAGTGATTTGTCCGTATGTTCAGCTTGGTTCTTTGATAACCCCATCTTTCAGCTCCCAAAGCATTTCAATTCCGTACGTACGTTGCTCTATCCAGCGTTACTGCATGTGAATTACTGCATGTAGTCTGCCGCCTACTGAATGGCCCAAACGTGCGCTTGACAGGTGGGCCTGCATGCGGCGGCATGAGTGTGCTACAGTGGTTACAGCAACACGGCATCTGCACTTCACTGCTTGAACAGCCGACTTAATTGTGCCCCGCTTGCCGCTTCCACCACACATTATCCAGGTGGCAAGTCTACGGTGGGAGCAGCTAGTATGACGTTCGATAACGACCGAGTAAGAGACGGTTGATCCCGCCCGTACACTGTGCGTGCCAACATCAATACGTGTACGCCAGTTCCCAAGGAGAGGGTTGGCAACTTCACGAGACGATACATAGTGTTCAACACACTCGACGACACGCCGCTCTTCATGTCACGCGAATACTCGACCGGCAACAACTGTACGGGGGAGCTTATTCTTGACTTTATTTTGCCAATCACTCCTTTATTTTCATCACTCATCAGGTGAGTGGCTTTTTATCGTACTTTGTGTGCACCAGTCGCCTTTCACGTCTTTCCCTCCCCTTTTTCAATCTTCCTTTCCTTCCTTCCACTCCCCTCCCTCCCTTTCTGACTTTGTCATTGCCAGGGCATCCCATAACGATGCTTGGCTCAAGATGAGATCCATGAGGTTCAGAACGTAGGTGCCGAGACTGGTGCAATGTCTAGTTGCTTTAGCACAACAGGGGGAGGGTTGGATAGGGAGTGGAGAAATTGCTTTGGAAGGCATTTTGAAGTTTGACAGTAAACGGTAGAGACTGGACAAAATGCATCAAGAATGTAATGCATTCATATGTCAGTGTATTCACTCAAGTTGCGCCACCTTCGCATAACCACCTCCCCCAATCAGCCTAGCGTACACACGATACCTTCCCCGCCTCCCATTCCCGCCTCGCCCTCCCTTAGGACACGTCACAATTGAAACAACGATCCTGCAAAGGATCGATGTGTGAGTGTACAGTAGCTTTGCGGATTTGCAAATGCTAAGGTATCCTTGTTTCGTTAGTTTTCTCGTAAACTCATGACACAGCTGTTCCTTCCTTTCCTGCCCCTGTCATAGCCCTCCCCTCCGCTTCGCCGACATACGAGCTCCTTTTTGTTCCTGTAATGAGGGCTTAGTCCTTCCCGCTCTTTCTCTCCCTTGAGTGAACTTGAACATGTCAACGTCGTGCCTTCACCTTCCTTTCTTATCCCCACTTCAAAGCATCCGGGACCTTCCTGCTGATTCCATCCCATCCTTGCTCCACATTTCTACTGCTGCCCTGCGGTCCTTTCTCAGGTCTACCTGACGAAGTAGCGGCCAGCAGTATGACACTTATCCGGGATGCTAAAGCCAGAGACAAGACGTCCAACCCCTACACCTTCCGCTTGGAATATGGGTGCTCTCGATTTCCAGAGGAGGTGGCTGGGAATTTCTCGCTTCGGTACGAAGTGCACAACATTGGTGGTGCTCTGGATTGTCGTCAGCTTCAACTTTACGTGACGGATGACTGCACCTCAACCCCTGCGATGAGGCGAACGGTGTCTGATGTAACGATTTCTGCAGTAGCAGCTCGGTGAGTGGCCAGTCATAAGAGCGTATTCCTATCCTCGTATCAAGAGAACCTCATATCAAGAATGTACTTTTTGCCTGGTAAAACTAGCGAGAGGTTTTGGGTTTAGGGGAATTTTCAGTGGGAGGTTGATATGAGGTTCTCTTGATACGAGGATAGGAATACGCTCTAAATCATTCCGCATTTTGTATTTCGTACACCAATTAATCTGGATTGTGCCTTTTGTGTTTCGTCTTCCATAGTTCCATCTTCACTTTGTGCTTCATAATCACGTGTTCATAATGCGCTATATCTGACAGTCCACCCGTACCCAATACCATCCATATATTTTATGTTTCCCTTGCTGCGTTTTTTCTTCTCTCATCATCAACTAGGGGCTCCCCCTTCTATAATCACCGCTCTGTCTGGTGCGGTAGCTGTTTTATTCTGCTGGGCGCATGTGAATTTTGATCCGCTCAACAATGGAAATATGTGCTGGACACCTTTGTACCATAATAATCGAATACCGCAATCCCCCGCGTAGTGCACCATAGGCAGCAGTACCGCTAAATGATGGCATGAGCTTGCGCGAGGGCATAGGGAGGCCTGGAGGATTGCCTGGGTGAAGCGGGGTGGCAGGTGCATGGGGGATTGCATGTGCATGGGTTATTGCATGGGGCAAGGGGAATGCCTGGGTATGGGGCTTGGCATGGGATGGGAGTACAATACTATCAGCCTGTATACATCAAAACGCATCAACTTTTATCTGAATAAACACTTGCACCTCACGTTGCTTTCTGGTTGAGCAGACTTCCACCCACCGTAAAATTCCCATGAAGGACGATGTTTACTCCACTCCCACTCCACACGCCATTTGGATTCAAGAGGTAATGCCGTAAATGGCAGCTTAGATGGACCACAGGTTTAATCAGATATGAAAAATTGTTTAATCGCCGGGTAAAAAATAGATTGTTCCCCCACATATGCGTGCTCCACGTTGCTGCGATCAGAAGTTGATCGCCACCAGAATCTACTCAAGAAGGTTCGCACGCAGAGAAGTAAAGTTGGTGGGCCCTTGACCTCAATAGCAGAGTGAATGTAAAATGCTTTGAGATGATTAAAACATGCAAATACAGCGATATAAATAAGAGTACAGGGGAATACAAAACGACCTATCTAGCCATACACTCTAACGACCTATCTAGCCATATACTCTAAGGGGTACATTCCCTTATTCAAATACATTCCCAACCGTGCGGCGCGTACAGTTACGAAACTGTTCCCGCCAAAACCATCCTGCCTGCAGCTGCCCGATGTCGTCCGCTTCCGACGGTCCAGATGCGCAGTAACCGTCTGACGCTTCGAGTCAATTCCTAACCGTCTGACTCTTCGCGTTCGTTCTCGATACTGCATGCTTCTTTTGCTGCGGTGAGGAGTGCACAGTGATAATTAAATATTACTATTCGTAACACCCCCCTTCACTCCTGGCCGTAGCTCGACTTGACCTGCTTGACCACGCCACTGAGTTCGGAGCAGTGCTGATACTGCTGGCGTGGCAGTCGCTTCGTGAGGAAGTCTGCTGCCATGTCACCGGTCGGGCAATAGGTCAAGTTGACCTTGCCCTTGTCCACCTCGTCCTTCACGAAGAAGTACCGCAGCGCAATGTGCTTGGTGCGGGCTCTGGTTGTCGCAGTGAAGGCGAAAGGTGGGCGAAGTCGGAATTTTCGCCTCTTGCAGGAGTTCCTGCAGGTAGAGGCCTTCGCGAACTGCTGCAGTTGCTGCGATGAATTCCGCTTCGGCTGACGACAGGGCAACCAGCTCCTGCTTCTGCGAGTTCCAGGAGATTGGTCCCGTTGGTTCGAGTCGGAACAAGAAGCCAGTCCTGGACCGTCGATTATCGGGATCTGCTGCATGATCGGCGTCCACATAGCCGATGAGATTGAAGGATGGAGTTGGTGTAGTTGAGTAGTACAGCGCGATCTTGGGCGTCGAAACGAAGAAATGCAGGGAGCGTTGCAGGTCCAGAAGATTCTCAGCCGTTGGTTTGCGTGAGTACTGGGCCAACTGGCTTGCGATGTAGGAGAGATCTGGCCTGCAGGTGACAGAGGCAAAGAGCAGGCATCCCAGCTGCTGCTGGTAAGTCTGAACTCCAGCAGGGGATAGGGCTTTGTTGTCAGGTTTGTGGTTCGGTCCGGGGGTTCGGTAGGGAGTTGAGAGGGGTGCAGGTGAAATGTTGAACCGCTTCCCTAAGGGCGCTTCACCTCCCTGTTCGAACAACACTCTCGTTCGAACAAGCAACTAGTTACCGTTTTCGCCAACCCTCGCATGGGCTTCTACGACGTCGTATGACGGAATTGTCGCCCATTCGAACAACACTGTCACATCGGGCGGGTAGTAATTCACACTGCACGTTCAAACAGTGCTGTTCGAACGCCCAGACTTAGGCGACATGAATTTTCCAGGGACGACGCATTTGATTGGTCACCGTGTGCGTTGCCTCACCCACGAATGATTGTTTTGCTTACGAGTGTCGCATTGAATGCGAATTTTCAGAGGCTTGTTCTTAGAGGCTGACGAACCCCCAAATGTTGGATTCGTCGCCTAGCACCGTCGGCCAATTTTTGGCGACGTCGCATGTTCGAACCAGGCGCTAGTTCAAACAAGGGGGGTGTCACCTGGAAAACAGGTTGTCACATGGGTCATTCTGTTCGAATTTGTTCTGGAAACTACATTGAATAGTGTTCGTACAGCAAAAACGATACTCCTGTTCGAATTTGGGGTTTCGAGCCCAGAGGTGAAGCGCCCTAACTCCTCTGCGTACTTAGCTGCTTCACCACGTAGTTGCACGTGATGTTGACGCGCCCTGCCACAGCCTTCTCGAACTGCTCGAGTAGCTCGTTGTTTGAGCCTGTGTAGAGCAGGTCGTCGACGTAGACCGTGTGAAGAATGTATTCGCCGCGGAAGTCGCGGCGGTACATCCCTGGATCGTGCGGCATCTGC